GTAGTACAAACTTGGTGATCATAGCCGCACGATCTATTACTATCAAGGCTATATCATGGTACTTGATGGGACGTTTGTAGAGTGGATGTTTGTATGTTTTGGTAACGAGGAAATCTTGAGGATCGGCTTCATCGTCCGTAGTTTTCAAATTCAAATCTCCAAGTCTCACGTACTTCACAGGACCACTGAAAACAATCAAATCAACTTTCATTGAATTTAGTTATAGAATTAGTTCAAACAATGCTATGCTATTCCGACAATGAGCTGCAGTCAGAACGAATTTCAAACTGATCAAACTTCCTCCACAACCCCAATACGTCTCGTTGTGTTCAGTATCATCGTATCCCAATGCCGCCTGAAAAAATAATACATATATTATACAAATTGTTAAAATGTGCATTTAACATTTTAAACCATATGTGGAAATTCGGCAGTCGATGATGGTTCACCACCTCCACCCAGAATTTTATCGGGTTCATACAAAATTGGTCCCCATTTCTTGCAAGCTAATAAAATTAAAATACATTTATGAAAACTTATTTTTTTATTCTTTGGATTACCTTGTACACTTCTAAAGCCTGCAATTTCTGTAACATTTTCATCATCACAACAAACAGTTGTATCTTTTCCTTTGTATTCACAAAGTTTCGGTTTGTTCCCTATACCTAATTTAATACTTCTATAAGCCTGATGGCATTTCAATGCCTCAATACAAACACCTTTTGATCCATTTTCTAACACGCAATCATCTCCTAAATTATAAAAAAAGAATAATAACTTACACATTCGTATTTTTTTAAAGCTCACTTACCCCATTCAAGATCGGCTTTCGAACTAATTGCAAATAATATTAAGACAGCACTCTTATAAAGTATACAAAACATGATTTATGTTTTTGGAAATTACGCTCAGGCTATTTCTTTAACACTCAACTAAATACTTACTTTCCTGCTATAATCTATACCAACACTGTGGATTTCTCTGTCTCGTTGTAAACGAATAAACAAAAATATCAAGTGTTTTAATAACAAGTGGGAGTAGAAACAGCTTCTTAATCACGGCTGTGACCTTCATTTGCAGAAAAAATACTTTTGCAAATGAAGGTCACCAGTAAGAACGTGCCTTTGTCTATGTTTCTTAATTGAACAAGTTCAAAGTTTATTAAAAATAAGCAGATATCGTTATAAACCAATACAGTTCATTATAAATTTATGTATTTTATATGTCAATAAAATAATATTGCCAAAAAATGAAAATAATATTTTTTTTAATTCAATTATAACCAATTTCTTACAATTATTTTTTTTAACTTATTACATCAATTAAGAAACATCTTTGAAAACTTACGTAAATAAAGATTACTTATAATTTATTTTAGTTTTTTTCATGCGCATATTAAATACTAAAATAAATTAACGAATAGTAAATCTTGATTTTCTTAGATTTTACTTATTTATAAAAGAATTATTGCTTTGCATCGAAGGCCGTATATAATATAATCCTGCACATCAATGAAACTCGTGTAAAAGTTCAATTCGAATAAATGAAATAAACATTACAAGATACGTTAGATGCGTTTCTCTATATATCTAATTGTTTTTCATTATAATTTAAATCACAATTTTATATTTCTAACCTTACTAAATAATTCTAAATAGTAATAATAACTTGAGCCATTTGGCCAAACGATGTTCTCTATCCAATCTATATAGTAGGCGACTCTCGTGTATACTCCAGGACTGGGAGTCAGTAAGCATGGTTTTCCAAAAGAAGTTATTCCGTAAATATAATAAGTGCCACGCGGATTTTTAAATTGCAACGGTCCTCCGGAGTCTCCCTACAAAACAATTAAGTTTGATTTTAGCGTTAGTTAACAACAAAGAAGGTAAACTTACTTTGCATGTATCTCTGCCTACGAATCCAGCGCAAATTTGATGTTGCTCTTGAATGCCTTTATTTAAACTGCGCTCGTTCACATCGTAATTCAGTCTGCATTTCGTGTTATTAACATGGTTAAGATATAATTTTTGCAAATGCTCCGCCGCTCTTCCAAAGAATGATAGCAAACCCCATCCAGTAGCAATGAGATTATGTGGTGAATCAGTTATATTGATGTTCAGACAAGCAGGTTGAATGTATAGCGTAGTCTTCACTAATCTGTCTAATTCCAACAAAGCTATATCGTTATACTTACTAGGTCGTTTGTACAGTGGATGTCTGTGCACTCGCAACACTTGAAAGTCTTCAAACGTTTTTGAAACACTATCTGATATATTCAATGCTCCAAGTCTCACATACTTAACTGCTCCACTAAAATAAATAATATTAGAATAAAGCGAAGAAATAATGATAAATTGAATTACAATTCAGTTGTATTCAAACAATGTGATGCAGTTAAGATGAATTTTAAACTTATTAGGCTACCGCCGCAACCCCAAACTGTCTCGTTCGATCCATTAACAGCGTACCCTAATGCGGCCTTGAAATATAAAAAAATAAATATATTCTTGATCTATTGCCAAAATTATTAACCATGTGTGGAAATTCCGCTAGCAATGATGGTTCACCTCCTCCTCCAATGATCAGACTAATTTTTGGCACTATTCTAAAGCGATTCCAATTATTGCAAGCTAAAACAATTTGTTATTAACTAAACCGTAATTATAAAAAAAAACAAAATAATACAGAAAAATGTATATCATTTAAATCATATTAAACGTCTTGGATGACTATAAGTAAGTAAATACAAAATAAAACTAACCTTGCACACTTCTCACTCCTGTAATTTGCGTTACATTTTTATCGTTGCAACAAACCGTGGTGTGTTTTCCTTTGTACTCGCATAACTTCGGAAGTTTACCTACACCGAGTTTGATACTTTTGTAAACTTGCTCACATCTAGAAGCCTCCACGCAGACACCATTTTGACCGTTTTCCAATAAACATTCATCGCCTAAAAACAAATTTATTTATCATGAATTTATCAAAAAGTTTTAAATTAGTTATGCAAAAAACAAAATGAAAACACAAACTATATAAACAATTATAATTATATATTGCAAAATTTAATTAATAAAAACTTACCCCATTTAATCGAAATTCCGTAATTTATAGATATAAATATTATAAATGCATAGACAAGAAAACGGACAGACATGTTGACATTGAAGCAATCTGTGCTGCACTAAAATTGTTGTAAAAATAACCACATTTCAAGTCGTATAGTACAGTGCTCCCCAACCTTTTTATCGCCGCGGACCGGTCAACTTTTGATAATTTTACCGCAGCTCGCTGATGGAGCGACGTTGATACAGTTACACCAAAAATAAATATAAAGTGATTTAACATTTAACTCACAAGGTTCTAGTCAGTTAAAATAAAAAAGAAATAATTTAATGTTTGTACCGGGGGTTGGGGACCATTCGTATAATAAACAGAATTTGAAGCATACTTATTTACGTATTATTTAGTCTGAGCACATTCAACAATATACTCTTGAAATGCAAAATCCAGATCTACGTATTTTCCAATTATTATTTATGCTGCATTTTGAAGGCCGTGGAATATTTTCTTGTGTTCATTGAGAATCTCACAAAATTCCATAAATATAAAGGTTAAATTGTTTAATGAAGAGCTTGTTTATTTTAGTTTACCATAAAAATGATTTCATAGGAAAAACTAATTCCCTTATTTACATATATAATAATAGTTCAATAAAAAGTAAAATTTTTAATAATTTATTTTATTGTAATTAGTTATTTCAAATAAATTGAATTTTCAGTTAATCCTCTCTTTTCGAACAGAATTTCATTAGCAAATCTTCATTTTCATTGGAAAACAAAATTTATAAAACAAAAATAGATTTTCTATGAAGGCTTTCTGTCATTTTCTTGCAAATCGATTATACTTATGTGAAAGTTCAATGTGTATCGACGTTTATTGGATAAATAAGATTAAGATCATAAATTAGTTGCGTTTCACTATGTATTTAATTGTATTACATTATTATTTAAATCACAATTTTTAATAAGTAAATGTATCTAAATTATAATCATAGCTATTTTGGCCATTTGGCCAAATGATATTCTCTATCCAATCTATATAGTAGGCGACTCTCGTATATACTCCAGGACTAGGTGTCAATAAACAAGGTTTTCCAAAAGAAGTTATTCCGTAAATGTAAGAAACACCTTCCTGATTTAAGATTTGCAACGGTCCTCCGGAGTCTCCCTACAAAACAATTAAGTTTGATTTTAGCGTTAGTTAACAATTAAGCGGGAAAACTCACTTTGCAGGTGTCTCTACCTACGAAACCCGCACAAATTTGGTACTGCTCTTGAATGCCTTTACTTAAACTGCGCTCGTTCACATCGTAACTCTGTCTGCATTTCGTGTTATTCACGTGGTCAAGGTACGATTTCTGCAAATGCTGCGCCGGTTTTCCAAAGAATGACAGCAAACCCCATCCAGTAACAATGAGATTGTTAGGTGAATCAGTTAAATTGATGTTCAGGCAAGCAGGTTGAATGTATAGCGTAGTCTGCACTAATCTGTCCAATTCCAATAAAGCAATATCGTGATACTTACTAGGCCGTTTGTACAGTGGATGTCTGTACACTCTCAACACTTGAAAGTCTTTAAACGTATTTACAAGATTTTTGTTTACATTCAATGCCCCAAGTCTCACATATTTAACTGCCCTTCTAAAATAAGTATAATTAAAATAAAGCAAATAGGTTTACAAAAAATACAATACAATTCTTTTGTATTCAAGCAATGCGATGCAGTTAAGATGAATTTTAAACTTATAAGGCTACCGCCGCAACCCCAAACTGTCTCGTTCGATCCATTAACTTCGTACACTAATGCAGCCTTGAAATATAAAAAAATAATAAATATATTATGAAGCTATCGTCAAAATCGTTGACCATGTGTGGAAATTCTGCCTTTAATGATGGAACACCTCCTCCAATCAAATTCCTAGGCCTTCTTGGCCTAATTCTATAGAATTGCTTTATTGCTATACTGTTTTGATTCCAATTATTGCAAGCTTAAACAATTTGAATACACAGAAAAAATGTCATTTAGATTTTGTTTCAAATTAGACATCTTAATAAAAATGCTAATTGCAACAATAAGTTGCACTCAATAAAATCAAAATGAAATGCAACTGCTCCAAAGATAGACGTCTTAGTATAATTAAGTAAATATAAAATTCAACATACCTTGGACACTTCTCACTCCTGTAATGTGCGTTACATTTTTGTCGCTGCAACAAACAGTGGTGTGTTTTCCTTTGTACTCGCATAACTTTGGAAGTTTACCTACACCTAGTTTAATACTTTTGTAAACTTGCTCACATCTGAAAGCCTCAACGCAGGCACCACTTTCACCGTTTTCCAAAAAACATTCATCGCCTACAAACAAATTTATTTATCATGAATTTATCAAGAAGATTCCAAATTAGTTATAGAAAATTCCAAATTGAAACACAAATTATATAAATAATTTTAATTATATATTGCAAAAATTTAATTAATAAAAACTCACCCCATTTAATCGAAATTCCGTAGTTTATAGATATAAATATTACAAATGCATAACCAAGAAAACGGACAGACATCTTGACATTGAAGCAATCTATGCTGCACTGAAATTATAGCAAAAATATACGAGTTATTTTTTGCTATAATTACACATAATTTGAAGCATACTTATTTACGTATCATTTAATCTTAGCATATTAATCACTGTTGAAATGCAAAATCCTGATTTACGTTTTTTCCACTGGGATTATCGCTGCTTATTAAAGACCATGCGATGTTTTCTTGAGTTATTTGATAATCTTATTAAAGTTTAATAATTTATACTAGATAAATCGTTTGATTATGATAAAGCTTGTTTATTTTCGATTCACATAAAAATGATTTCATAAGCTAAACTACATGAAAAATAATAGTTCAATGAAAAGTAAACTTTTAGATAATTTATTTTCTTGCAATTAAATTATTAAAATACATTGAATTTACAATTAGTCCTCGGTTATGGAACATAATTTCGGTTCCCAATATTTAAAATGTATATTTGGTAGATATTTTTTTGTAACTAATGAATATGTAAACTTACATAATTTAATGTTATTTTTTATTTATTATGCATTTGCTATACAAATACTAATAAAACCTGAATTATGCGGTACTATTTTTAGAGCCTTCAAGTTTTAGACAAAATTTAACGTACTGTTGCAACGAATATTAGCAAATTTATGAAATCTTAATAAAATATTGATAAAAAATCATCCCCGAAAATTTACATTAATAATGAAAATGAAGTCTAAAAATGAATGCTATCATTATTTTCTGTTAATTTATATGAAATAAATATGTATTTCCAAAACTTATACTAGCTTTTATTTTCATTTTTTTTTGTTATACATACTTACAAACTTTGTTTACGTGATTTTCATTCGCTTAAAAAATACATGTTGAACGGATAATCGTGTAAATTCAGGAACGCTTGTATTTATTTTCCTTGTACAACGAAATTAAGAAATTACGTATTTATAAAAATATATCGATTTTCACTGAAAGTCTTGCATATTTTATTGAAAATCGGTTAGACTTATGTGAAATTTCAATGTGTATTTACATTCATAGAATAAATAAGATTAAGATCACAAATTAGTTGAGTTTCACTAAGTAACTCCTCACTCAATAAGTTCGTAGGATAACATATAGATGGCTTCTCTGTCGACAAATCCATATGATTTTTAGGAATTACCAACGTTAAAATAAAGTCTTTCAAAATTTCATGATAATCTGACGTTTAGTTCACGTGTTACAGTGGTTTTAGTGACGCTACTTTTGTAATTTTCTGAAAAAATCTGAATTTCGTGTGTTGATAAAAAATTGCTTTTGATGAGAAAAAATATCGTTCAAGCAACGTAATGGCTTGATAAATATTATGGGGATTTTTGTCCGTCAAGACAATTGGTAGAGAAGTGGTTAGCTGATTTTAAACGCTGTCGTACAGACACAAATGATGCTGAACTCTGGTCAGAAAACATAAAAAAGTCCACAGAATGGTTTTGGCCGATCGTAAATTGAAGTTGCGTGAGATAGCTGATACCCTGAAGATATCAGAAAGCAATGTATTCACCATTGTGCATGAACATTTCATCATGAGAAAGCTCTGTTCGAAATGGGTACCGCGTTTGCTCACAGTGGACCAAAAACAAGTGTCACAAGTCTATTAAAACGATGGCAGAAATGCACAAATTGCACTTTGAATTGCTTCTCTATCCACCGTATTTTCCTGATGTGGCTTCGAGCGACTACTACCTGTTTGCAGACCTAAAAAAAATACTTAGGAGACAGAGATTTGACTTCAATGAAGAAGTGATTGCCAAAACTGAAGCGTATTTTAATAAAAACTTACTCCTATCTAGAAAACTATTAATAAAAACTCACCCCATCTAATCGAAATTCCGTAATTTATAGATATAAATATTACAATTGCACAAACAATAAAACTCGCAGGCATGTTGACATTAAAGAAATCTGTGCTGCACTGAAATTTTATCAAAAATAATATCATTCAACTCTTATAATAAACAGAATTTGAAGCATACTTATTTACGTATTATTTAGTCTGAGCACATTAAACAATATATACTCTTGAAATGCAAAATCCAGATTTACATATTTTCCAATGCAATTATTGCTGCGTTTTGAAGGCCATGGGATATTTTCATGTGTTCGTTGAGAATCTCATTAAAATTCAATAAATATAGTTTATAAATCTTTTGATGAAGATATCGCTTGTTTATTCTAGATTCCCATAAAAAAATATCTCATTAGCAAAACTAATTCCAAATAATAACATCAAAAATATATTACAAATCTTGATTTTCAGCTTGCATATTTTGATAAGCAAGATTAATATCACAAATTACTTGCTTCTCTCTATGTATTTAATTGTATTACATTATTATTTAAATAATATACTAAGTGTTCCATTAGTAAATAAATCTAAATTGTAATCATAACTTGAACCATATGGCCAAACAATATTTTCAATCCAATCTATGTAATTAGCGACCCTCGTATAAACACCGGGACTGTTGGTCAAAAGACAAGCTTTTCCGAAAGATGTGACCCCGTGAATATAGTAGTTAAAGTACATTCGGAATTCGTATTTAGTTTGCAGCGGTCCTCCAGAATCTCCCTAAAATGAAACTAATAAATCTGCAACTCATAATAGTAATCTTAAGTAAATACCGGACAGGTGTCCTTTCCAGGATCACCAGCACAAATTTGTGTTTTTTCATCAATACCCTCATGCAGCGTTCTTAAATTAACATCGTAATTCCTGTTGCATTCCGTGTTGTTGACTTCGAAAATTGTGACTTTTTGCAGGTGATTCGAGGATTTCCCGAAGAAAGACAATAAACCCCAACCAGTGGCTATGAAGGATTTCGGCGTGGTCATATTGATGTTCAGACAAGCGGGATACGCGTATCCAGTAAAATTTACTGTCCCATCCAATTCTATTAAACCAATGTCATGATACTTCTTCGGTCGTTTGTACTGAGGATGTTTGTACGTCTTGAGTACTTTAAAGTACTGCGGATATGCGTCATCTTCGATACTACTTATATCCAAATCTCCGATGATCACGTGCTTCACCAAACCGCTGCAAAATGAACCATTAGTAAAATATTATCAAATCGTAATAGTTTTTAACTTTACAAATCTGCGCTGTGCAAACAATGGGATGCCGTTAAAACAAATTTCGAACTGATCAAACTACCACCGCAACCCCACTTAGTCCTATTGCTACCATCATCATACCCAAGAGCGACCTTAAAAACTTACATATTAATATTGATTTTTCAATCTAATAAAAAGCAACTCAACCATGTGAGGAAACTCTTTTGATAAAGCTGATTTACCTCCCCCTACAGCCCTATACGAATGTATCTTTGACCTTATCCAAATATTACAAGCTAAAAACATATAATTAACAATACTATAAAAAAAAGAGATTTCCATTACCTTGCACACTACGCACTCCTCTCAATAACGTAGCATTTTTATCGCCACAGCAAACCGTCGTCTCTTTTCCTTTGTATTCGCAAGGAGCTGGAACCTTCCCAATACCAAGTTTGAGGCTCATGTAAACCTGCTGGCATTTTAGAGCTTCTATGCAAACTCCCTTTGATCCATTTTCCAAATCACATTCATCACCTTAAACAAAAACAAATGATTTTTTCTGGAGCAAATACTTATAGCACCTGCTTAACAGCGTACGTAATATTTTTTTAATTAGTCTACGTTTATAGTTCAAGGTTACTATTTATTTTCTCCATTCTTTTTACATATTCATCAATACCTTCTATTTTTTATTCGAAAAATAACGCATTATTCAATCAGTTTTTATTCGAATAAAACTTACCCCATTTCAACGTATATATAAAACTGATTGATACGAATATTATTTGAACGCAGTAGAACGCTTTGTAAAACATGTTTCTCATGGAAGTAATCACGCAATACTGAAAGCCCACTTTAATGAAATTCTTGTGTATATATTTCTTCCGCCATAAATTAAACGTTTGTCTAATTATTGAATGTTTATTTCCATATTTATACTCGTCTTGTAAGCAAATTTTGTTTTTTTTATCATTGATTACAATGATTTATATTTGTAGTATATAATGCACGTTTGAAAGCCAATCAACTATTCGTCCTAATTAATTTATTTAATGTACTAATCTTGTGATTACCAAAGTAAATAAATATTAACCATGTGATTTACATTACATTATATAATTAATTTAAAAAAAGGTTTGCTTTCGCTTCAATATTAAAACAATACATTACAGCAAAATGGTTTAAAACGTTATATATTATTTTAAATATAAATAACTCCGACTTTAATAACAAACTAAATTTGAATTGTGCGAAATTAAAATAAATTCTTGAAAATTAGTACTGAAAATATATTTTGTATAGAAAAAATATTGTTTTTTCTTTTATAGAGTCAAGTTTCCTTTTTGTGCAGTTTATTTGAAAGCCCACAACTAGTCTAGTTTTAAAAACTATGAAAACTATTTTGAGAAAAGTTAAATAAATTATTTAAAAAAAAATATTACATATTCTTAAATGGAGTAAATTTTATAATAATATACTAATAGATACAGTTTAAAATTATTTATAAAAAAATAACATCAAAAATTGGAAGTGTCACATAAAACTCATTTTGTGTTACCTTTTGTCATCTTTCTAACAACTTGATATCTCTGCGCTCTTAAAACTGCTGGTTCAAGTTATCATAATTAGTAAAGTTTTACCATTCAAAGAGTTTTGCAAACTGCGAAATAAATGGTAATCTGATGGTACAAGGTCAGAGCGATATGCGTGATGTAACAACACTTTACAACCTAGCTACAATAATTTTCCACGTGTTAACAAACATGTGTTAGGATTTGCATTGCAAAAAAAAGTTCAATGAAAAGTAAACTTTTTATTTTCGATTCGCATAAAAATGATTTCATAAGCTAACCTACATGAACAATAAATAACTAAATGTAAAGTAAACTTTTAGATAATCTATTTTCTTGCAATTAGTTTATTAAAATACATTGAATTTATAATCCTCGGTTTTTGAACATAAATATCGATACAATATATACTCTTGAAATGCAAAATCCAGATTTACATATTTTCCAATGCAATTATTGCTGCAATTTGAAGGCCATGGTATATTTTCTTGTGTTCGTTGAGAATCTCGTTAAAGTTCAATAAATATAGTTTATAAATCTTTTGATGAAGATAACGCTTGTTCATTCTAGATTCCCATAAAAAATATTTCATTAGCAAAACTAATTCCATTATCAACATTATAAACAATTAAATTTCAATGAAAAGTAAACTTTTTTAATAATTGATTTTATGTAATTAGTTATTTAAAATACATCAAATACATAGTTAATCCTTGGTTTTCAAAAACTTATTATAAATCTTGATTTTCACTGAAAGCTTTGCATATTTTGATAAATAAGATTATATCACTATATGTATTTAATTGTATTACATTATTATTTAAATCATAATGTTCTAAGTCATAGGCCATATGGCCAAACAATATTTTCAATCCAATCTATGTAATTAGCGACCCTCGTGTAAACACCGGGACTGTTGGTCAAAAGACAAGCTTTTCCGAAAGATGTGACCCCGTGAATATAGTAGTTACGGTACAATTGGAATTGGTATTTAGTTTGCAGCGGTCCTCCAGAATCTCCCTAAAATGAAACTAATAAATCAGCAACTCATAAAAATAATCTTAAGTAAATACCGGGCAGGTGTCCTTTCCAGGATCACCAGCACAAATTTGTGTTTTTTCATCAATACCGTCCTGCAGCGTTCTTAAATTAACACCGTAATTCCTGTTGTACTCCGTGTTGTTGTCTTCGAAAATTGTGACTTTTTGCAGGTGATTTGAGGATTTTCCGAAGAAAGACAACAAACCCCAACCAGTGGCTATGAAGGATTTCGGCGTGGTCATATTGATGTTCAGACAAGCGGGATACGCGTATTCAGTAAAATTTACTGTCCCATCCAATTCTATTAAACCAATGTCATGATATTTCTTCGGTCGTTTGTACAGAAGATGTTTGTAAGTCTTGAGTACTTTAAAGTACTGCGGATAAGCGTCATCGTCGATACTACTTATATCCAAATCTCCGATGCTCACGTGCTTCACCGAACCGCTGCAAAGTGAACCATTAGTAAAATATTATCAAATCGTAATAGTTTTTAACTTTACAAATCTGCGCTGTGCAAACAATGGGATGCGGTTAAAACGAATTTCGAACTGATCAAACTACCACCGCAACCCCACTTAGTCCTATTGTTACCATCATCATACCCAAGAGCGACCTTAAAAATTTACATATTAATATTGATTTATTAATGAAAAAAAAAAACTCAACCATGTGTGGAAACTCTTTTGATAAAGCTGATTCACCTCCCCCTATAATCCTAAACAAATGTAGCTTTGACCTTATCCAAATATTACAAGCTAAAAACATATAATTAATAATAATATAAAAAGAGATTTCCATTACCTTGCACACTACGCACTCCTCTCAATAACGTAGCATTTTTATCGCCACAGCAAACCGTCGTCTCTTTTCCTTTATATTCGCAAGGAGCTGGAACCTTCCCAATACCAAGTTTGAGGCTCATGTAAACCTGCTGGCATTTTATAGCTTCTATGCAAACTCCCTTTGATCCATTTTCGAAATCACATTCATCACCTTAAATAAAAAAAAACGAATGTATTTATTTCTGAAGCAAATACTTATAGCTGCTGCTTAACAACGTACGTAATTTTCTTTAATTAATCCAAAGTTTTGGTTCAAGGTTACTATTTATTTTGTCCATTCTAATACATATACATCAATATCTTCTATTTTCCATTCGAAAAATCAGGTTTTATTCGAATTAAACTTACCCCATTGCAACGTATATATTAAACTGATTGATATGAATATTATTTGAACGCAGTAAAACTCTTTGTAAAACATGTTTTTCTTGGAAGTTATCACGCAATACTGAAATCTCACTTTATTAAGGTTCTTGTGTATATATATTTCTTCCGCGATAAATTAGACGTTTGTCTGGTAGCAGAACATAACTTATTCATTTTTTATTTCCATATTGATACTCGTCTTGTTTACAAACAAAATTTGTTGTTTTTTTATCATTTTATAATTCTTTATATTTGCAGTATAATGAATGCACTTGTTGAAGGCCAATTAACTATCCGTCCTAATTAATTTATTTGATGTTCTAATCCTGTGATTACCAAAGTAAATAAATATTAACAATGTGATTTACGTTACATTATATAATGTTAATCTAAAAAAGGTTTGCTTTCGCTTAGTTCAAAAATATATTTTCTATACAAAAATTATTGTTTTTTCTTTGATACAGTCAAGTTTCCTTTTTGTGCAGTTTATTTGAAAGTCCACAACTAGTCCAGTTTTAAACAGTTCGTTATAAGCTCGAAAACTATGAGAACTATTTTGAGAAAACTGAAATAATATATTTAAAAAAAATTATTACATATTCTTAAATAGAGTAAAATAATTTATAATAATATACTAATAGATACTGTTTAAAATTATTTATAAAAAATAACATCAAAAATTGAAAGTGTCACAACTCATTTTTGTGACCTTTTGTCATTTTTATAACTCTGCGCTCTTAAAACTGCTGGTTCAAGTTATCATAATTAGTAAAGTTTTACCATTCAAAGAGTTTAGCAAACTGCGAATAAATGGTAATCTGATGGTACAAGATCAGAGCTATATGCGAGATGTAACAACACTTTACAACCTAGCTCCAATAATTTTCTACGAGTTACCCAAGATGTGTTAGGATTTGCATTGCAAACCAAACTTCAATGAAAAGTAAACTTTTTAGTAATTAATTGTATTGTTATTATTTATTTAAAATACATTGAATTTACAGTTGAACCTCGGTTTTGGAACAAATTTCGGTTCCCAAATAGAATTTCATAACATCAAAAACTTATTACAAATCTCGATTGTAAAATAAAATTTTATGTATTTATAAAAAATATTGATATTTGCTGAAAGCCTTGCATATTTTGATAAATTAGATTAAGATCATAAAGTACTTGCGTCTCTTTATTTAAATTACTATTTTCTAGATCTTAAATTAGTAAATATATCTAAATAGTATTCATAACTTGAGCCATTTGGCCAAACGATATTCTCTATCCACTCTATATAGTAGGCAACTCTCGTGTATACTCCAGGACTAGGTGTCAATAAACAAGGTTTTCCAAAAGATGTTATTCCGTAAATGTAAGAAGCACCTTTCTGATTTTGGAATTGCAACGGTCCTCCGGAGTCTCCCTACAAAACAATTTAGTTTGATATTAGCGTTAGTTAATAATTAAGCGGAAAAACTCACTTTGCAGGTGTCTCTACCTACAAAACCCGCACAAATTTGTTGCTGCTCTTGAATACCTTTACGTAAACTGCGCTCGTTCACATGGTAATTCTGTCTGCATTCTGTGTTATTCACGTGGTTAAGGTACAATTTCTGCAAATGGTCCGCCGGTTTTCCAAAGAATGACAGTAAACCCCATCCAGTAGCAATGAGATAGTTAGGTGAATCAGTCAAATTGATGTTCAAGCAAGCAGGTTGAATGTATAGCGTAGTGTTCACTAATCTGTCCAATTCCAACAAACCAATATCGTGGTATTTACTACGTCGTTTGTACAGTGGATGTCTGTACACTCTCAACACTTGAAAGTCTTCAAACGTTTTCGAAACACTATCTGATATATTCAATGCTCCTAGTCTCACATACTTAACTGGTCCACTAAAATAAATATAATTAGAATAAAGCGAACAAATAAAGAAATATTGAATTACAATGAAAATGTATTCAAACAATGTGATGCAGTCAAGATGAATTTTAAACTTATTAGGCTACCGCCGCAACCCCAAACTGTCTCGTTCGTTCCATTATCAGCGTACCCTAATGCAGCCTTGAAATACAAAAAAATAAATAAATATATTCTTGAGCTATCGTCAAAACTGTTAACCATGTGTGGAAATTCCCCTATTAATGCTGGTTCACCTCCTCCTCCAAGGATATAGAAAGCAAGAGATGATGACGAAATTCTAAAGCGATTCCAATTATTGCAAGCTTAAACAATTTGTTTAGTTAACCATAATTATAAAAATAGCAAAATAATACTAAAAAAATCACTTAAATCATATTAGTATACATAAGTAAATATAAAATAAAATTTACCTTGCACACTTCTCACTCCTGTAATGTGCGTTACATTTTTGTCGCTGCAACAAACCGTGGTATGTTTTCCTTTGTACTCGCACAACTTCGGAAGTTTACCTACACCGAGTTTGATACTTTTGTAAACTTGCTCACATCTGGAAGCCTCAACGCAGACACCATTTTCACCGTTTTCTAACAAACATTCATCGCCTACAAATAAATTTATTTAGAAATGAGTGAATTTATCAAGAAGTTAATATATTAATAATTTCTAAATTAGTTATACAAAATACAAAATGAAAACACAAATTATATAATAAATTTTAATTATATATTGCAAAAAATAATTCATAAAAACTCACCCCATTTAATCGAAATTCCGTAATTTATAGATATAAATATTACAATTGCACAAACAAGAAAACGGACAGACATGTTGACATTGTAGCAATCTCTGCTGCAATGATATAGAATCTGATTCATACTTATTTACGTGTGTAATATGATCAGACTAAATAATGTCTGATCATATTACACAATATATACTCTCGAAATGCAAATTCCGAATTTACGTATTTTCCAATGCAATTATTGCTGCGTTTTGAGGGTCATGGGGATATTTCCTTGTTTTCATTGAGAATCTCATTAAATTCAATAAATATAATGAATTAATCGTTTGATCAAGATTATGCTTGTTTATTTTCGATTCCCATAAAAAGATTTCGTAAGCAAAACTACTTCTATTAAGTCCATGAAAAATAATAGTTCAATGAAAGTAAGACTCTTATGAAAATTCACATACGTGACGACACATGACTAACAACTTGTATTTCATTATCAATCATAATTATCAATCTTTAAGCTGTTAAGTGTTCATTGTCTTAAAAATATGTACTATTTGGCCAAACTATATTTTCTATCCAATCTATAAAGTAGGCGACTCTCGAGTATACTCCAGGACTGGGAGTCAATAAGCATGGTTTATCAAACGAAGTAATTCTGTAATCATCGCTTGGATTTTTATATTGTATAATACAAACCAGTTTAATATTAGTGTTAATGCAAAGAAAAATATTTCAACTCACTTTGAAAGTGTCTCTACACTCAAATCCAACGCAAATTTTCTGCTCTTTAGTTAAGTAAATCTTCTAGTTCATAAATTTAAAATAATTATGAAACAAATAATTATATTACAAAATGTATCTAAAAATTTAAGTAAAAAATTATCATAATTAATGTTTATCATAAAAAGTAGATCTAAGAATGTAAGTTTTTTTTATAATTCATAATATTCTATTGTATTCATAACAATACGTATATATTTTATAATTGTGACGCAAATAATAAATTAAATAAATATAAGGATCTAGAGATAGGTAAGTATTAAGCTCTGGTGGGATTCCAAAATATAAACGTTTGTACAAATTTGACAAACAAACATTTTTTTTTACATTTTACAAGATTTCAAACTTAAGCATGAAGAAAGTACTGTGATGGTGAATTATTTCCATACGGTTATTTGTCACATACATTCTTTTTTCAATATATACATATTGTCTATACAATACATTGCATTAAAATACAGGAGTAGGTGAAGCTGTTATTATATGGCGTTTGGCCAAACAATATTTTCAATTCATTCTATGTAATTAGCGACCCTCGTGTAAACACCGGGACTGTTGGTCAAAAGACAAGCTTTTCCGAAAGACGTGACCCCGTGAATATAGCAGTTATGGTAGAATTTAGTTTGCAGCGGACCCCCAGAATCTCCCTAAAATTAAAGTAATCTTAAGTGAAATAATCATGAAAATAATCTTAAGTACCTGACAGGTGTCCTTTCCAGGATCACCAGCACAAATTTGTGTTTTTTCATCAATACCGTCCTGCAGCGTTCTTAAATTAACACCGTAATTCCTGTTGCATTCCGTGTTGTTGACTTCGAAAATTGTGACTTTTTGCAGGTGATTTGAGGATTTCCCGAAGAAAGACAACAAACCCCAACCAGTGGCTATGAAGGATTTCGGTGAGGTCATATTGATGTTCAGACAAGCGGGATACGCGTATTCAGTAAAATTTACTGTCCCATCCAATTCTATTAAACCAATGTCGTGATATTTTTTCGGTCGTTTGTACTGAGGATGTTTGTAAGTCTTGAGTACTTTAAAGTACTGCGGATAAGCGTCATCATCGATACGACTTATATCCAAATCTCCTATTTTCACGTGCTTCACCGGACCGCTGCAAAATGAAACCATCAATAAAATATTATCATATTGTAATACTTTTCAGGTATATAAATCTGGGCTATGCAAACAATGGGATGCGGTTAAAACGAATTTCGAACTGATCAAACTACCACCGCAACTCCAACTAGTCCTCTTGCTACCATCAGCACTATACCCAAGAGCGGCCTTGAAAACTTACATATTAATACAGATTTATTAATGGATACAAAAAATAATTCAACCATGTGAGGAAACTCTTTCGATAAAGCTGATACACCTCCACCTATAATCCTCTCCGAATAGATCTTTGACCTTAACAAAATATTACAAGCTAAAAATATATTATTAATAATACTAATAAAAAAAACATATTTCCATTACCTTGCACACTACGTACTCCTCTTAATAATGTAGCATTTCTATCGCCATAGCAAACGGTCGTCTCTTTTCCTTTGTATTTGCAAACAGTTGGAACCTTCCCAATACCAAGTTTAAGACCCATGTAAACCTGCTGGCATTTTAGAGCTTCTATGCAAACTCCTTTTGATCCATTTTCCAAATCGCATTCATCACCTTAAACAAAAAAGTAATTTATTTTCGATATTCCAAATACTTTTAGCTGCTACGAAAACAACTTATTTTTTTTAATTAATCTACATTTTTAGTACAAGGTTTCTTTTTTTTTCTACGTTTTAATACATATTCAAAAAACGCCATTATTCCATCACTTTTTTTTCGAACAAAACTTACCCCATTCCAACGCGTATATAAAACTGATTGATACGAAAATTATTTGAACGCAGTAAAACTCTTTGCAAAACATGTTTCTCTTCGAAGTTTCATACAACACTAGAATCCCACTTGATTGAGCATATTAATACTCTTCTTCTTTATAAACAATTTTTGTTTTTCGTTGATTATATTTTTGCAGTATAATTAATGCACTTAATTAATTTCATTGATGTTCCAATCTTGCGATTACCAAAGTAAATAAATTTGTACAATGCAATTAATGGACAAATCCGAACAACAAAGTAAAAGACAAAAAAAATATTAAGACAAGTAAGTCTTCCAGTTGATAAATATAAAATAATTCTAAAACCTGTAAATTATCATCAAGTAAAATTAAATTTCAAAATGTATCTAAAATTTTGTACATTTTAAAGAACACATATAATAAGAAGCACATCCAACAAACTAAGTTTATTTTTTATAATTCGCAGTCTGTTTGATAAAGTGCTAAATCATATTCATAACAATACGCTTATATTTTATATTTGTGACGCGAATAATAAATAAAATAAATATAAGAATCCCGAGATAAGTAAGCATTAAGCGCTGGCATGATTTCAAAATATATTTGAAATAAGTTATGTTGAAATGTTTGTACATGTAAAATGAACAATTTTATAATATTTTTATATTTTACAATTTTTTAAATACAAAAAATTCTAAACTAAGAAAGTACTTTGATGGTGACTTATGCCTAAAGCAAATTTGTCATATACATATTTTTAACTTGATTTATTCACATAAACATTAAAATTTCAGAGAAAATAAATCTAATATAAAAAAAATATGAAGCTTGTGTCAGTGTCATAATCCAATAATACTGTCATTATATGGTTTCTGGCCAAACAATATTTTCAATCCAATCTATGTAATTTGCGACCCTCGTATAAACACCGGGACTGTTGGTCAAAAGACAAGCTTTTCCGAATGATGTGACCCCGTGAATATAGTAATTAGGGAACAATTTAGAATGGTGTTTAGTTTGCAGCGGTCCTCCAGAATCTCCCTAAAATGAAACTAATAAACCAGCAACTCATAAAAATAATCTAAAGTAAATACCGGGCAGGTGTCCTTTCCAGGATCACCAGCACAAATTTGTGTTTTTTCATCAATACCCTCCTGCAGCGTTCTTAAATTAGCACCGTAATTTCTGTTGCATTCCGTGTTGTTGACTTCGAAAATGGTAACTTTTTGCAGGTGATTCGAGGAATTCCCAAAGAAAGACAACAAACCCCAACCAGTGGCTATGAAGGATTTCGGTGAGGTCATATTTATGTTCAGACAAGCGGGATATGCGTATTCAGAAAAATTTACAGACCCATCCAACTCTATTATAGCAATATCGTGATATTTTTTCGGTCGTTTGTACTGAGGATGTTTGTAAGTTTTGAGTACTTTAAAGTACTGCGGATATGCGTCATCTTCGATACTACTTATATCCAAATCTCCTATGCTCACGTGCTTCACCGGACCGCTGCAAAGTGAACCATCAGTAAAATATTATCAAATCGTAATAGTTTTTAACTTTACAAATCTTTGCTGTGCAAACAATGGGATGCGGTTAAAACGAATTTCGAGCTGATCAAACTACCACCGCAACTCCATTTAGTCATATTGCTACCATCATACCCAAGAGCGACCTTGGAAACTTACATATTAATATTGATTTACTAATGGAATCCTGAAATAACTCAACCATGTGAGGAAACTCTTTTGATAAAGCTGATACACCTCCGCCTATAATCCTCTCCGAGAAGAACTTTGACCTTAACCAAATATTACAAGCTAAAAGTATATTATTAATAATAATAAAAGCAAAGAGATTTCCATTACCTTGCACACTACGCACTCCTCTCAATAACGTAGCATTTTTATCGCCACAGCAAACCGTCGTCTCTTTTCCTTTGTATTCGCAAGGAGCTGGAACCTTCCCAATACCAAGTTTGAGGCTCATGTAAACCTGCTGGCATTTTAGAGCTTCTATGCAAACTCCCTTTGATCCATTTTCCAAATCACATTCATCGCCTTAAATAAAAAATAAAAATATTTTTTTGAAGCAAATACTTATAGTTGCTGCATAACAACGTACGTAGTTTTCTTTAATTAATCTACATTTTTGTTTCAAGGTTACCATTTATTTTGTCCATTTTAATACATATTCAACAATATCTTCTATTTTCCATTCGAAAAATAACGCATTATTCAATCAGTTTTTATTCGAATATAACTTACCCCATTCCAACGTATATATAAAACTGATTGATACGAATATCATTTGAACGCAGTAGAACGCTTTGTAAAACATGTTTCTCTTGGAATTTATCACGCAATACTGAAATCCCACTTTATTGAGATTCTTGTGGTTATATTTCTTCCGCCATAAATTAGACGTTTGTCTGGTAGCAGAACATAAATTATTGAATTTTTATTTCCATATTCATGCTCGTCTTCCTTGTAAATAAAATTTGTTGTTTTTTTTATCATTGATTAAAATTATATATATTTGCAGTATAATTGTAATGCATTTGTTGAAGGCCAATCAACTATCAGTTATAGTTAATTTATTTGATGCTCTAATCTTGCGATTACCAAAGTAAATACATATTAACAATGTGATTTACGATATAATGTTAATCTAAAGAAAAAAGTTTGCTTTCGCTTTTTTCAACTAAGTTTTATGTAAACACACATACCTAATGTATTTGATATGATATTTAAATAATAAATCACAGCAAAATGGTTTAAAACGTTGTATATTATTTTAAATCTAATATTTTATAATTCATTTGAATATAGAACAATATCTCACATGATCCGGCTTTAATAATTCCTTAAATAATTTAAAATTATTTTATATATAATAGATACAGTTTTAAATTATTTATAAAAAATAACATCAACAATTTTAATAATTGAAAGTACTTTCGTATGAAACTTCATAATTCCGCGCTTATAAAACTGCTGGTTCACGTTATCATAATTAGTAAAGATTTACCAGTCAAGGAGTTTTGCAAACTGCGAAATAAATGGTAATCTGATGGTACAAGGTCAGGGCTATATGCGGGATGTAACAACACTTTTCAAACAAGCTTCAATAATTTTCCACGAGTTACCAAAGATGTGTAAGGATTTCCATTGTTTTGGAGAAACACGATTTGCCAATTCTGGTCGATATTCTTTGACTGCTTCCTCCAGTTTCATTAGTTGTTGATAGTAAACATCTGAATTGACGGATGCACCTCAAAATACACAACATCTTTGTAATCCCACCAAATTGCAATTCAAATTTAGATGTGGTTTGTGCTGTTTCATCACGCGATCCATTTTACATTACTAGTGATGATTTATATAAAAAAAAAAGTAACGATTTCATTGAGTTTGAAATGGATATTTCCAATATTGAATCGTTGTGTTAGCTGAATCTTTTTCAATTAAAGAGCCCAAGACATTTAAATGATTTTCAGTTATATTATATCTTATTTAATTACGACATTGATTTGGTTATCATAAACTTCAGAAGGTCGATGGTAATTTTTGAGTGAAAATCTTCAAAACGGATATGTAAACCAATTCTGATAAGTGTATTATGTTAAACAATCATTATCATAAACTTTACAAATTGCTTTATGAGCCTCAGTTTTTTTACCTTTACTGAAATAAAAAAGTAAAAAAATGTCGCAAATTTTCCTTTTTGCACCCCTGTTAAAATTTACCCTAAACTAACAGCTGCAAAGACAATTACTTGCAATTGATTTTTAAAGGAAGCTAAAAGTGACATCTTTCAAATGACAAAAGGAAACAATGATAACATTGTCCTTCAAAACTAACATAATGCTATCCGTTTATGTAAACCGATTTTTTTTTCCATCAAACCAATATTATTATTATACTTTTTTCACTATCTTTAACAATATTTATCTCTCTCTATCAATGAATAAACACACTTTTTTATATTGATTAACTTATGAATAAAAATGTGTTTTTGAATTTGTATGCAACGCATTCATTCACGCGAATACAATTAAATATATTCAAAAATATTCGTATACGAACATTTGGGTAAACTGGAAATCACCTTCCACTATGTTATTGTGGCTGCATAACCGATGTACACGGTTAACGAGTTTTAAAAGATATTTTACTGACGTGCATTTGTGGAAAAACGTTTCGTGAAAGTTAATGGTAATTCCATGATATCTGCTCTAAATAATTTGCAATTTTCTCTGGCCAACTTACTGTTTAACGAGCAAAATAAATTGTAAGAAAAATGACACCAAATTGGAACGAATTATCGTATATTACATTAGTTTATATGGGGAAAATTCGAAAATTTTTGAACGGATTATGCTCGTTAAACGAGGTTCCACTGTATATTTTTTATACGTATCACCAATTACTTGAAAACTATGACATAAATTGATTTATTTTCGACAAGGAAATTATAAATAAAATTAGTATTAGATGTTTTTTTTATAAAACTAACTAACTTTTATAAAATTAACAAATAAAAGTTAGTAAATATTTCTGGGCAACAAATTTAATATTAGAATATTACTAAAATATGACAAGTTGGAAGTTTCTGAAAATGAAAAACCTTCGAAATTCTTATTTTTTCTATTAAAAATATCATTTTTGATAGTGAATTAATGCAAGAGATCTATAAAAAAAACTTTTCATAATAAGTTATAAAAAATAGGTACTTAAAAAGATTTGATCAAAAAAATCTGGTTTACTGGTATATATCCAATATTTTTCAAATATATAAAAATTTCCAATATATTCAATAGATCTGAAGTATCAGATGAATTGCATAAAAAAAAACTTAAAGATATAAAACCTATTAAAAAATAGCTTAACAACTCAAACAAACCACTTTACAAATTATGTATCTAAATCATTCGATCATCATTGTTGAGGTTATTTATCAAATTACATTACGAATAATAAATTAACAAAATTTATTTTTTATAATGCAATCAGACTTTACAATAGAATACATTTTAAATAAATGATACAGCTCGAGTTGTATATCTAAAAATACGTGTAGCAGGTAGGTAAAAAACATATAATTAAAGTTGCGGTCAAATGCAAAGCACGCAGGTACTTTGCAAATGTGGAATATACCCGAAATCCCCTGGAAATTGAGATTCGAGTAAACAAGAAGTATAAGAAGTACCACCAACTGATGTAATATACATTGCATGTATATATGCAAGGTCGCATTCAAATCTCTTGTACAATTAGATCACGGCCTTTATTTCCGCTTCGAAATCGAGCTATGATCGGGGCTTTCCTAGTCACACTTGATTAACTTCCAATTTTTCTTTCTTATGCACAGTGATGGATTAAGGATAGTTGAGGCTCCTAGACAAAATATTTTCGTGGAATACTAAAAAAATCAACTACTTTAAATACTATAGAAAAATGTGGGGCTACCAGACACGTGCCTCATTGCCTTAATGGATAATCCGCAACTGCTTAAGCAACCTAATTCAATAACTTTTTTTTTTCAAAATTTACTTTAATATTTTTATTGGTGAAATAATACAATAACTTTTTTTATGATGATGGTGTCCTCACGAAACGAATTTCGTAAATAAAGTTAATAAAAAAATTTAGTTCAACGTGGAATACATAGGTAAATCAGCTATGTACTACTTGTACTTTATTATCCATTGTTTTGCAATTATCTACGGATCCATTGTGAGATGCAAAGGCTTATCGCGCTACTCGTTTCACGGATCATTTCGATGGCTATTCACGGGAAGAGATAGTGGTGATATTGGTTTGGAAGATAGAGAAAGAGAGTTTGATGCGGGGATAGAAGAGGGTGAGAGAAACGAAGCGAAGACAGGAGAGAGAAAATATAGTGCGGATTTTGTTGTATTTGAATAATGAAGTGAAGGGAGGGCGGGGGGTGGGGTCAGAGCGAGGAACGGCGGCATTCGCGTCGCTGATAATGCTTGTCGTAAAGGTGTATATATAATTAGTGGCGAAGCAACTTTTCACCGGTGTCTTTATCCGACGTTGAAGAGAACAGACGTTGGTACTTTTATAGTATTTTTTTTTTGTAAGAATGCTGATCAAAACTTTGGTCATCGCCGTTGTCGCGATTCAACTGGTTTCCGCCAGGCCAGGAGTCGAAAATAACCAAGGTAATAAACATTTTTTTTTAGAAATAATATTCATCAAAAGAAAGTGTTAATTTGAATTATAATTATTTGAAATTTACGATATTAACAGTTGTTTTTATTTTGCTATATCATGGTATTAAAACTAATTAATCTATTATCAGTATACATTTCAAAATCTTGAAATGATTGATTTATTGTTGATAATTGACTTTTTTATCACTTTTATTTGCTAAATAACATTTATTACAAATTAACAAAAATTGCAATAACAAATTAAAAAAAAATTATAATATTTTTTGGTTAATACTTCAATACTTTTCTGAATAAATAGGAGAATCAATATTCATTCATAATAATTATAAATCGGGCAGAAATACCTATGGTCAATAGCACTTTGAAGCATTTGATTTTTTTGATTTATGATTTATATTAATACCATAATTATTAATATTGATTTAAATGCATATTAAGTAATGAAATAATTAGAAGAACATAACTGATTGTCTTTAATAAAATTATAATATTTATTCATAAGACAAAAAGTTTTCGTTCATCTACAAGATTTGTAACTAATTTTACTAATTGCATTTATACAACTTTTGATTGAAATTGGAGAAAAAATTTAAACATTATCAAAAATGTATAAGATTTGATAAAAAATAAAATAATGTTTCAATATTCTACTGAATGTAATAAGAAAAATATATATATTTATAATATGACAAAAGAAGTTGTTTGAAATATTTTTTTAGTAACATTCTTAAATTCTTTAGTTTCATTTATAATAATTGATTTTATTCTTTCAAATCACTTTTATTTACTATTATATATAGATACATTTCTATATTATTCAATCACTTATTAAATTCAGAAGAATTCTGATATATAATACATACATTTTCGCCAAAAAAAAACAAGTTTCTTCTTTGATCATGAGACGTGTACGAAATTAAATCTTATTAATTTATTATCAGTGATTATTTCGAAATCCTATTTCATTATTTATAATCGATTGTTAATCACTTTTATTTGCCAAGATGTATAATTTACTCAAATTAATAAAAAAAATAAGTAACATTTCATTGTCAAATAGATAATTATCAATATTTGCTTACAATTAAATAGTTGCCCAACTTGTTTTTAATTTATTCATTCTAATCAATGTACCATTGTTTATTTATAGTGATTACTGTATATTCAATTTGAATTACAAAGTATCACATTTTGTAAAATATCTTTATGAAAAATTAATTGTATCACCTTACATTTTTTTACATAATCATTAATTTCAATACATTTATTTACAACTTTCAAGATATTTTTTCCAATTATTGAGATATTATAACATATCAAAAAAATCAACCGCCTTTTGTATCTATAGAGGTTCCCTCGACTTACGATCTAATTCCGTTCCAAAGGGTTGTTTGTAAATCGAATTTGTTAGTAAGTCGGGGGAATTTTATCATGGTTTTTACTTTTATATATCTTAAATTCCGTATTACTGACTGCATAATTTTTAAAAATAGATTAAAATAATCAAAATACTTACGACAAAAGAAACAAATACAACAATACATATAGTACATCTTCCAAAAATATTATAAATTATTAAAAAAATTAACAATTTTTGTTGGGACAGTTAACTTTTTTATCACTCTATATCTCCTTGTTACAAGTTACAGCTTTTAGAATTTTGTTCGTAAGTCCGTGAGTTCGTAAGTCGGGGAATACCTGTACTTTACTCCATAATAAAGTAAAAATCAATAAATTTAAATAATTAATAAAATGTTATCATTTTATATTTGAATATGTATTGAATGGTTAATGGTTTTAATACATTTACTAATAAAAGTTTTTGAACATTATATTGAATCTGTATTAAATTTTAAATTTGTAGAAAATATGTTTAATTTGATAATAAAGTATAAATTAATTAATTAATCATTCAATAAACAAATTTTACCGTACAATACACATGCTTAATAAAGAAATGAGTCTGAAAATCATTACAGTAAATTTCAATAATTATACATTTAATTTATGTACGAAATATGCATTTATTGATATGATTTTGTAAGAAGATTATTAATTATAAATATCTAAAAATCCAAATGGTATTCTTTCATTTATGTTGAACATAGAGATTAGTGTAGAAATCATAACAGTTAGAAAAGTCTAAAGAAACGTGTGACGTTTCAGAAAAACTAGCTAGCTAAATAATAACGACAAAAAAAAGAAATTTAGTCTAATATAATTACTAGTCGAAAGCATACTAATAACCATCGAACAGGTTATGTAATTACAGTTAAAGCGTTTATTCTAAAGTAATTGAAGTTCTAAGAACACCAAAAAGTAATTACTTATTTACGTTGAAATAAAAAAAAAACAATGATTTTAGTTTATATAGAATTTTTAGATAGATTTGGATCTATTACTTGTGGTTAATGATAAAATAATCGTTTTAATATCTAATGAACAATTATAATAAATTTCAATTATACTTGCAATAAAATAAACAAATTGAATTATAATTACACACACACACAAAAAATTTAGATAATTTCCATATTTGATCATCTTTCTAAATAGAATCTTTCGTGTTACGCAAGAACTTAATTTGCGGCAACTGTAAAGAATCTAATGACATTTTAACAATAGGTTTCACCTGTAACTCGAATTATCGTATATTATTATTATTAATTGGATTCCTTTTTCCTAAGCGATTATAAACAGTGAATAACAAATCACACCTGCCTTTATATTATTGCAGATTATTTGTTATGTGTTTGTGTGTATACGTAAAAATTGTGGAAAATCAACATGCAAATGCGATACTTACGCGTTATCCGACTGCATAGTTTTGTGCATTGCGAGCACGTTTCGGGTCAAACGTTCCATTCCGTTCCGATTTGTTTGTTATTTTTTCTTTGCCGTTTCTTGTTGTACTTCTTTAACTTCTTGCACACAATAATGGATAAATATTTATAAGCGCAGACCGCAGGTCATGTCCTCCGATTTGATCAAAGGTAAACCTCGAGACAAGGACGACATAAAGAACTCAAAATAAAATAATTACAATCATCGTGATTGATGATCCAACATTTCAATTACATCTTGCCATTATATAATGGATTGTAGACTCGCAATTTCTTTTTATAGATTTTTGGGAAGAACGTTGACTTTGTATGTCAGTGGGTTACATATATTTCTTTTTATCGACATCTGTGCAAAACCTACTTCGTACTTTGTAATCTTACATAAGAAATGAAAAACCGGTTGAAAGGAATTACCGTTTAACGAAGGTTATTGTACGAATGGATCTAAAGATCAGATATTGCATCCTAAAATTCATCAATAAATTCATCAAATTACTTATATTAAATTTTCATCAAAGAAATTAGTATATTTTTTAATTAAATTGTATACAAATATGTTTATTAATTGTGTTACGTACATTTTAATGTGATAACTCTACTAAGTATTGTATTGTCCGAAAAGTTCGTGCCGATTTTTCACGAAAATTAAAAGTCAACACTTTTATATAAAGATATATACATTTTATGTATGTACCATTTTTTGATCTATAAACCTTTTTTCATCTTTCACACAACTTAAATTTATTAGTTTTTTTTCAAACAAACTGCTTCAGTTGGTTTTTTATATCGACTAAAAAACAATCGTTCTTGCAGTTAATGGAAATTTGCCCAAATTTGTAGAAATTCAAAAGTACATTGTCTGGTGAATACTACGGGTGGACAAATAAAACTGTCCGACTCCAACAATTTTTGTTGAGTTGTAAAATAAATATAAGGGCTGATATTGTCGTGATTTTTGTCCGTTAAATTATGCAAAACTTCTATAACTTCATATAAGCTTCATAAACGTTCGTCGACAGTTGTTTTTGATATTATTAATAACTCTGCTAATTCACGTTTCGTATAGTGCGGCTTATTCTCGATAAGTGTCTTCATCATTATTACTAGCAGAACTTTAAGGCTGAAATCATCAGCTCCAAATTTAGAGAATTATGTTCCTAAAGTTCATTTAGCTAAAGCAACTTCTCCGTAAGCAGAATATATCTTTATTCTTGCTTTAGTGGAAATATTGGCTTTACAGTAATAGAAAAGTATCAAAGTCTAAAATGCACGTTGTTTTCTTCTTCATGAGGTTACTAAATGTGATTTGATCCAAACCAGACGTTTTTCTGAAGAATCTTACTTTTTAGAATATTTACACAATTTTTTCACAATTATGATAAACCAATAATTTATTTAAATTTTTGATATAAACTTTGTTGTTATCACCAATTCAATTACGTACAGTCAATCATTTAAATATGCAATCATAATCATAAACCTTATTACACCTATCAACAACTGAATAAATTTGAATATTTTATTGCATCGTAAAACAAAATTATGTAATCTAATACAATCAAAGTCATGCATATTTCATGTTCTTGGCATAAATAAAACGATTAGTATGATCACCGTTTTCCAGTAAATACGTTTAGCTTTCGGGCGATTTGGGAAATTGTATAACTACATATTTTTCTTTTTTTTCTCAGTACGTGGTTTTGCATATTCCATATCTCGTGTCCGAAACTAAACAGTTTATTGCGCAAAACTTGCATTATCTTTACAACTATTTAACAAGCGTTCAGTTAACGAAACGCGAATGTACAACAAATTAATTTTATGGGGTATAACAATAAGGAAAAACTCGTAACTTTAATTTTCCCCATTATTTCCTACTGTTCTTATCAATCCTCATAAATATTCATTATACCAATATCAGTTATAAAGTATAACATTTACGTTTTACTCATTATATTCATTTATAATTGATCATGTAACATTTAATTTTCTTCCTCTTTATATAATTAGCAATTAATTTCCCTGACCTTACCTTCTAGGTCGTTAATTACATTAAATGATAATTGCACTTGTGAGTCATCAATGCAAAAATAAAGACTAATATATTATTAAAATATGAAAAGTTATAATTAAACATTAATTACAATAACTGTTATTGATAACACGAGGTTAATTTGTATAGTTTATATTTTTATACGTTATCGATAATTATTTATGTGATTGTTTGAAGTAATTAATTTATTACTTTAATTGTTGAGATAAATCTTTTAAGATTTTGTATTCAGATTTCAATGAGATACGATTATTTGCAATTTGAATGTGCCATATCGAACCCTCTTCAAATAGATACAAAATATTACTGATAAAAGATACAAATCTAATTAATTGTTTTACGTGATATTAGTTACAGTTCAAATTGGAGCATGCATTTAATTTAATTATGATTGTCGATTATGAACATAACAATACCTCACATAGTGCGGATAATCTGTTCAGTTTGAAACCGAACTAATCGAGGAACTATGACTATATAACTAGAAAGAAAAACTATACAATTATTTATGTATAAACGAATAATTTTGTCTACTAGTTTTTTAGAATTTATTTTTATTTTGCACAATAAAAATTTAGTTTGTTTTTGAAATTTTCACTAATCGAAGACAGATTATGGGAGATATTGCATGTAAAAAGAACTTAAAGTATTAATCTATTAACTTTAATTATTGCTTATTACAATAAACTTAGATCAGAAAACAACAGACAGTTATCAAATTTATCAAAAAATCAAACTTGGTTTGAGATTTCGCAATCAAGAAATATTATTAGATAAAGTTACAGGAAATAAAATACTGCTGTATCACTTGAATATTATAAATTTATTTATAGATTAAATATTGTTTCAAAATCTACGGTTTTGATGCAATAAATATAAAGTGCTTTAAGATCAGCGAAAGTTCAATAACATTTTAACAAAGTCGAGAAACCATTGTATTTGCTCTATGTCTACCGCACTACAGTAAAGAAAAACAAAGCAATAGAGGTGTTTCGCAATGTACCTACGATTCTTTACATGTCTGTGTTGCAATATATGTGCAAGGTTAAAAAATAAATTAAATTTCTTAATATTTCATTTGAAATTTAATGGAAAATAAATTGCTAATAAGACGGGAATAAACCAGAAATTAGACATACATTTATTTTAATTACAGTTTAATTTCTAGAAGATGATGAAATGAAAATATAAAATAATAAAAAAAAGACTCGGATTGGATATGTTATCTTTTATAGTGTTGTATTATTAATATATTTATAATATATTATGAATAATGCAACTTCTTGCCTCCAAGCTATGACCTTTCGTCACTTTGCGGTCTATGAAAATAGCAAACAATGGAAAATAATATTTACAAGATGTTGATATGTTTTAATTGTTGTTTTCCTTAATTATATTTGTATTGTGTAGATGGTGATGAAAGTATGCACGAGGTGAGGAGGATCAAGAGGAAAATCCCGGGAGTCTCACCTGACGAAGAAAACACCGCCGAATTTTGGAGAAAGAAGGCTCAGCTCATTTTAAATGATAAATTGCAGACCAAGGAAAACACCAGTAATACAACGCATAATTTGTGTCATTTTTTCGCGTGATTAATGTTCATATATTCCTTAGATCGTGCGAAGAATGTAATCCTCTTCCTTGGAGACGGCATGTCCATCCCAACGTTGGCTGCTGCCCGCGCCTACGAAGGTCAGAAGAAGGGACAAACCGGCGAAGAGAACTATTTGTCTTTCGAGGAATTCCCGTACACTGGGCTTTCCAAGACCTACTGCGTTGACACCCAGGTTGCAGATTCCGCTTGCTCCGCCACTGCTTACTTGTGCGGAATTAAGGCCAACATGGGAACCATCGGTGTTACCGGAAGTGTTCCATACAGCGAATGCGAACCATCCAAGAACGAATCCACCCATGTCACCTCCATCGGCAGGTGGTCTCAGTTGAAGAACAAACGCACCGGTTTAGTTACCACTACCAGGGTAACTCACGCTTCTCCTTCAGGTATGCATTAACAATATAACAGATGTATAAAGTTTTCAATGATTGATGTCTTCAGGTGTTTATGCAAGCGTTGCCGATCGTGAATGGGAATGCGATACTGATGTTAAGATCCTCGGAGACGACCCCAAGGAGTGCAACGATATCGCCTACCAATTAGTCAACGGAGAGACCGGAAAGAACTTGAACGTCATCTTGGGAGGTGGTCGTGGTAAATTCTTGCCGAAGACAATCGTGGATGAGGAAGGACAAAAGGGAAAACGTAGCGACGGTGTGAATTTGATCGAAGATTGGTTGGAGCAGAAGTCCGGAGTAAACGCCGAGTACGTTTGGAAGCGCGATGATCTTCTGAACCTTCCAGAGGAAACCGACTACGTTTTGGGACTGTTCGAAAGCTCACATTGTAATTACGATATGGACCGCACCAAGGATGACCCAAGCTTGGCCGAGATGACCGAAGCAGCCATCAAGATTCTGCAGAAGGGCGATGACGGATTCTTCCTGTTCGTTGAAGGCGGTAGGATCGATCACGCCCATCATGATACCAAGGCCCATAAGGCTTTGGACGAAACCGTGGCCTTCTCGGACGCCATCCGCAGAGCCAAGGAACTCACCAACAGCGAGGACACTCTTATTGTTGTCACTTCCGATCACGCTCACACCATGTCCGTAAACGGTTACCCAACAAGAGGAAACGACATTTTGGGTATCTCCGGCATTGCCGACGACCAATTGCCCTATTCCACTCTCAGCTATGCCAATGGTCCAGGATACAGGAAGGAAGAAGATGGCAAACGTCACAATATCTCTGAAGATAACATGCGTAATGCGATTTAAACTACTTCTTCGAATTATTTCAATTAATTTCTTCTTTTATTTACAGAGGACAAAGAATACAAATTTCCATCTTTGGCTCCGTTGAGTTCCGAAACTCACGGTGGAGATGATGTTGGTATCTTCGCAACCGGACCCTGGGCTCATCTTTACCGCGGCGTCATCGAACAGAACGCTATTCCTCATATCATGGCTTACGCAAGTTGCGTCGGTGACGGAGTCACACTCTGTGATCAGTAAATCTGTACTATTTCGACTTCTTCAAAGTAATTTCTGATGATTGAAACAGTTCTTTTACAAATTTGGTGATTAAATAGTGAACGCAAATAGTATCTGATTTCCAAAACAACAAAGTTCCTACAATGTATTATAAATGTATATTAAATAACATGAATGAGATTTATATAGAGTCTTAGATAATATATTACAAATTATTTAAACAAATCCAGTTTTTTTTTGTCTACCTATTAATAAATTTTAATTAAATCTAAAACTTAATGATTAAGAATAAATTTAATTTATATTAAACAACTCATATTGTATATCCTTCTTCAATATTATTTTACATACATACATTTAAAACCATTTACTTAAGTACCCAAGCTGATTTAAGAAAAGTCCCATTCTGTACCCATTATTAAGTAATATTTTTATTTAGTCAAAATATGAATAGTATCAAATAGACAAAAAAAAAACAATTTCTATAATTTCTACAAAAATATTTGAGTAACAATTAATATTTAGAAAAATTCTTCACTTTTGTATAAAATTGTTTATATGCAAATAGTGTGATTGATAAACTATACTCTGGAATTGGTCACCAAATTAATTAAAATCCGCGACACATGTTGCTTTACTTTCATAAACTTGTATTATAATATAATTTCAAATTTAATCAGACAAGATGGTTGCCTAGGATAAATCATCAAAATATAATATTCAATATTTGTTGTGAAATTGTTTACTTTATTATTAATTATTGTATAATCCAATCAGTCGCATTAAGTATTTTATGACATATTTTGTTATATAAACAATCAATGTTTATGTATTTCTTAAATACAGTACAACATGTTTTAGTGCGGTCCTTTTTTATGCAGTATATTAATTCGGCTTTAGCACCATTGTAATGTTTTCAATCAGTGTGCATATGTACAACCTGCTCAAACGATTCTGTTAGTCGATTTTGAACCAATTTATCACAAGAAGATGCGCGTTTTGGATTAACACGAGTAGCAGTGAATTATATATGTGCAATTTCTCCATATGTACAATGAGAAATTAAATGTTTTTTAAATGTTTCCATGTGTAATTTAATTATTTATTTTATTTGGATGCACTTTCTCATGTATTTCGTAAATAAAAAAAGTTTCTCTAATGTATTGTACAAAGTTATTTATTATATGTAAGAATTTATGAAATTTTGGAATATTTCCGGCACAAAAAATGGATTCACTGTAATTTAAATGAATATTAATAATTATTAACTATTATTTTGATAACATCATTTATTTTACAATAAATTTTAAAGATCAATTGTCACATAGCGATATTGAACCAATATATATTATTTAAAGAAATAATTTATTATTTTTGTGTATTATGTTGTAATATTATAACAAAATAAGAAATTAATTTTCAATATTCACTATGTTCACATTATGTTTGTTAGATAAAATTACAGAATAAACGATTTCTCATAATGTAAATAAAAAATTGAATTATATAATGTTTGTAATACAGTGGAATCTAGCTAAACGAGTTTAATCCGTTCCAAAATTTCCGGATTTTTACTCGTATAGTAAAATAATCGTATAGTAAAACACGTTTTCCCATATAAACTAATGTAAATTACGATAATGCGTTCCTTGCCGGAAAAAAAAGTATAACTTGGTCTCGATTATAATTGATTTTTCATTTCTATGGTTATTTTTATTCTTTGACTTTTTATTCGGAGATATGCAAGTGTTATTAAATTTTGCACAAAAGAAAAACACAAATAACATGTCTGAACACAAGTTTGGAAATTTTGTGATCACAAACAACACTAAGATGCAACTAGAATGACCACTAACACTAGAAACTGTTTACACACGGTGAAGTGAGTTTATATTTGTTTATATTACTTGTATCAATCAATTCGGGGACTTGGTGGAAGTCTCTTTATACTTTTAATATTTGTTTATATGAAAAAAAGCGTACATAGTGTGTTTATAAATTATAATAATGGTTGGACACAATACATTTGTATTTTTCATTTACAGCAAATTATTATTGCAATTATATTTTTTTTTTTTTTTTTTT